AGCCGCATTGGATAAGATGCATTTATCCCACGGTGTAATATTGCATTTTTTTTTTTTTTCTCAAAAACTTTTATTGTGTCTTATTTTTTACTGTGAGTAATAAGAGTAAGTAAGAAGTGAGTCACTGACTGTTCTTAATCTTCCGCTGGGAAGAAAAAGCATAAGAGGCCACATCTACTGGTCTCTGTTCACTTTCATGTCTACAGAGAAACAAAAAAACTATTTGCGATATATTTACACAAAGATAGTTAAAGTGAGGACTTTAAACTTGATTGACAAATCTTACCTTTAATTGGATTGTTGTGAACTTGCATCAATTCTGTTGGATACTGTTACTTGGCAAAATGTTTTTGGTAACACAGGAAAAAATAAAACATTAAGCCGCAGCTTTCAAAATACAGAAAAAAGCCGCGCCTTAAAGTCGAAAAAATACAATGTATAGAGTAAAAAAATAGAAAACAAAACATCTTTAGACATCATTTGTTTTATTTTCAAAATATATTAAGGACAATTTCATTGTAACATACTGCACTGTGCAATCATCAGTTTGATTTCATTTATAGCACTCACTTTTTTCCCAATCACACACATACACATACACACATACACACACACACACACACACACACACACACACACACACACACACAGGCACCAGCACAATTCAACATATAGCATCAGCCCGATGGGGGCGTCATAATAAAATAGAGATTTACAGTTATGTCTAACATTAGAATACAATCTGCCCATCAATGGCATCATATCAGTGACAAAACAACACAAAAGTAATAAATGCAACAATCAAGATCTCCACTTGTGTGTTTGAAGTGCTTTCATGGAAACTAACATTTGTAAAAAGGATGTATTAACTCTTTTAACTAATATTTAATCATGTCTATATCCTACAGAACTAAACTAGAGACATGGAGGGCACTGTTCTAAGTTTAACACCAGGTGAGACAATAAAGGCCCTTCATGTCCAACTGTGGGTGGGCAGTTATTTGGTTTTGGGGAGTCGAATTCTCATTCCATAGACGTTTTAAGCATACCAGATGTTAAGAGTTCTGATGTGGTGCCAACAACCATCGATGACTGTTAAAGCACTATTTCTGATATTTTTTATTGCTTTAGTATCTTCAGTATCATAAGATGGGTCCTCAGAGGTTTGTATTTATGTTTGGTAAACGTGAGCAATTTTGTGAAGCAATGCAAAAATACATATTTCCGTTCTCTTGACTATTACTGTTGTTTTGAATAATTTAATTTTGTCAAACCATTGGAAAGGCTGTTCTAAAAGGCAGGTGGGGTATTCGATCTGGAATACTGTTTAAAACAACATTTCAGATCAAATTTACCTGATTAATATAAGTTTACAAAAAATCCCAGTTTGGTCTTGTTTTTTTTTTTATTCTATTCATTAAAGTTAAACAGATTTAGGGACACTAGGCTTTTCTCCGTACATACATGTAGTACACTCAAAAAGATGTCGCTTTTTACAAGTTTAAAATGTGATGTAAACGGTTCTGTTGTAGTTGTGGTTTTTTCAAAATCTATCTGGCCCTATGAACAACTATGATGGCGAATCCTACCATCACATTGAAGTCTATGGGAAACTCTGCTGAGCTCCATTGTCCTGAGTATATTATCATTCGCCCGTGAGACAGGTTCCAGCTTGTCTCGTACTTCAGTAAAACCATAGTAACCGCCATAAACAGCGCTTTCTTTATTCTTCACGTTCCGCGGTAACCCAACACTGCTGCCTTTGCATACAGTCTATTGCACAATTAGTCATAGCTTTGCCTCTTGTCAATTCATTTCATTTAAGTTCTGATATTCGATCAACATCCCGATTTTTGGCACCGCTAATTTACTTTTTTAATTTTTGCGTATATATCTAAGATCATGGAATATTAGTTTTTTGTCTCATCTTTTTGTGGTGTGGCATTGGTCACACACTTGTCAGACTTGACCGAAGGAGAAAATAGCGTTTGGGCTGTGCAATATTTAATTGAAGTGTCAAACTAGAACACAATGATCAATATCGCTGCCGGTCCGGTCCTCCATCGACTGTGAACAAAATGAGGATGTAGAAAAAAATTTGATTTTTGAATTTCCTTTGTTTGTCTCATTTTGTTCTTCGTCGTTTTCAAAGGACTTGACAGCCACAGCTTTGGTACGTTTCCACTTCTGATTGTGAATCGGGAAACAGTACCCAACCCTGTAATCATGATTTTGGGATACAAGGATGTGTAATAAATGTCTAGGATTCTTTTTATCTTTTGAATTATAGAACTAAATGTACAGTTTTGTTTTGTTTTTCTTTAGCGGTGGATCTTTTTTTGTCAATGAGGAGTGTTTTTTCAGGTTCTTCACAGCCAAGAGAGACTCAGAACGCCAAAAACGATCAGGAGAGCTGCAGACAGGAGAATCAAAATTGGAATATAAGTTCAAAACAAAAAGGATAGTTTAAAATTTCATTGTTCCTACCGTTGGACAGAGACTGCAGGGGAGCAGTCCCGGCGGTGGTGGTGGTGGTGGGGGCAGTGGTGGTGGTGGGGGCAGTGGTGGTGGACACGGTGTTGTTGGTGTCGGCCGCTGGGTTGGTGAGATCCACTGGGGCTGTCCTCACATGTGTAGTAGGTGTACCCAGAGTTCCATCGGCTGCAATGTGAAAGATGTATTTATTGTCGGTGGGAGCCACACAAAATGTTAATATGTATTGATTTCAACCATTGTCATCCATCACAGAACAGTGTGAATGGTGGACAGACAGCATGTGCCATGATCCACGGTTTCATAATAATGGAAGAAACATTTTCTGATGTCGCGTCAAATCTTTGACTTTATTGAGCTTTGTGGCGGGATTCTTTCTGACTCACCCGCAACAGATCCAGTCAGCACGCCCAGTGTGTACGTAGAGTCTGCTGCTCTGTTTGTTGATGTTGCATTGGGGATTGTGGCTGAAAATTCACACTGGATCCTTCTGCCGGTCACCTTGGCTTTCACGTTTGTCACCGGTGTCTGAAGAGAAAAAGGTCAGTTGAGTGAGAAAGGTGATTCACAATGAATTACAATGTTTTGGTGGATCCAATACACACAAAACATTGAGTATGTTATATACATGCATTCTGTACAGGTAATTGTCATAAGTACAATAAAAAATGACTGCTTAACAAGAATTATTAATTTGGCAAAATTAATCAATACACTCTGATTTAGTTGAATTGCAAACACTCACTCACCTGGATATTTGTAAAAAACTCCATTTGTGAGTGAAACGCTGCGGAAAGTAACTATGCCATTTCTGTTAACACACACATACACCGTCTGCGTTCCTCCCTGCAAACACAACAAAAATTATGAACTCAAACAGATGCGTTGCAATGTTGCCATAAGATTAAGTTTTAAGGAAACAATACACAATAAATAATGATGAAATTACACTCGTGTGGATCACAAGTTTCAGAGAGTTACACAGACACCATCTGATATTATAGTTCTACATTTCTCCAGTTTGGGCTCGACCTAGACTCTAAATACTGTTTTATTTTTTAATGAACTTGGACTTACATTTGGTGGCCCCAGAGCACAAGCCAAGTAACCGTCACTTTCTCCGGCCAACCCAAAGTTGTGGTTGAAACCACCAATTCTCTTCACGCTGGTGTGAAAGCAGGATCCAGACGCAGGGTCACAGCCGCTGGGCTCAGCCGCACACAGACGCTCTGTTCCACAGCCAGAAGTGGTCAAGTTGCTCTGGAACACAAATGAAAAACACATTGTTAAGATCTTCTTCTCAATAAAATGTTACTACTCATAAAATTCCATTGATTGCTTTAGTTTGGGGGTCTGAGATTAAGATTAGGAGATCCTTGAGAGATGTCCCACAGTGGGGAAATTTCAGTGTTGCATTACAAGTTACAGACCAGTGGGAATGAGCACACAGCACAAGAAAAATGAACTCAGATCTACTGTATACTAAACTTTATACTTTTTCCCATGTTTCCTTTATTCCCACTGCTTTTTTCTACCAACGATTTGGACCTTGTTTTATGGTTTTATCTTTGCAACGTTTTTGTGACAACTGCTGTTGCAATCGAGAATGTAAACATCACAGGAAATGATGTGACGTTTACATTCTCTCTGATCTGCCCTAGTCTGGGAGGCCTGAAACATGGTAGTGGGAGTAGAATTTCATGTCAGAAAGTAAAATCATTTAGAGAATACTGTCCTTTTGTTAAAACATGCATAAGTTAGAGTAAAAATGTGTTTCCTCGTGTAATTCAATCTTTATACCACCAGAGGGAGTTTTTGAATTTCTTTTTGTTTTCTTTCAAATTCAAACCTTGCCTACAAGAAAACACAGACTCTAGTTCTCTGGCCAGATTTTCCTGATTTTAGCGAACTCCACGCCTGTTTTTGATGAGGGAACCGTAAACACAAGCTCAAAAAGAGACAATGTGACATATGATTATCTCCTTTAAAAAAAAGAAAAGAAATCTGTGCTCCACATTTTTAACTTACTCAAGGGTAGTGAGTACAAAAACTCTGAGGACATTGAAACTGTGTCTTACTGTAAGTGTAGTGACTGTCGTGTTGATAGTAATGGGGGCAGGGGTTGTTGTTCATGGTAGGGGCCATGGTGGAGGAGTTGGACGTCACTCATTCATCATTGAAGTCATGCTCGGTGCCATTGTGGCGTTGCTCGTGCTCGGCTCGGTGCCATTGTGGTGGTGTTCGAGCTCGGTGCCATTGTGGTGGTGTTGTTCGAGCTCGGTGCCATTGTGGTGGTGTTCGAGCTCGGTGCCATTGTGGTGGGTGTTCGAGCTCGGTGCCATTGTGGTGGTGTTCGAGCTCGGTGCCATTGTGGTGGTGTTCGAGCTCAGTGCCATTGTGGTGGTGTTCGAGCTCGCTGCCATTGTGGTGGTGTTCGAGCTCGGTGCCATTGTGGTGGTGTTCGAGCTCGGTGCCATTGTGGTGGTGTTCGAGCTCGGTGCCATTGTGGTGGTGTTCGAGCTCAGTGCCATTGTGGTGGTGTTCGAGCTCGCTGCCATTGTGGTGGTGTTCGAGCTCGGTGCCATTGTGGTGGTGTTCGAGCTCGGTGCCATTGTGGTGGTGTTCGAGCTCGGTGCGAGCTCGGTGCCATTGTGGTGGTGTTCGAGCTCGGTGCCATTGTGGTGGTGTTCGAGCTCGTTGCCATTGTGGTGGTGTTGGTGCCGTAGGTGCCGACGGACATCCAGCACAGCGCCACCATGAGGGCGATGGGAGCAGCGACAAGATGCATTTCTGTAAAAAATGACAATGATGTATTAGAGGGCAAAGCATGCACTGTGAAAAGGATGGGCAATGCTGAGCTGCTAGCTTTATGAAGCCCAATCAATCCAAGATGTTTCTTTTCAAGTCAATGGCCTGTGTTCACTGTGTTAGCCATTAGCTCCTGAATGCTAACAACTATAGCCCAGAAGCATTTTGGTAAGATCCAGGCCTAGATGCACATGCGCAGTAGTGCTACCTCCCCCATGATTATTTGTGTGATACCGTGGGTGGTCTGTTGACTAAAGTGAAAAAAGCGCTCATGGCTGGAGTTATGCTTCTATTCCATTTGACTGCATTAATTTACATTGAAGAGTAAACTTACTGTAACCATTTGTGTCATATTCACCATTTTTATTTGATCTTAATAACATATTTTGTATATTCTAATTGCAGCCCTGATAACTGACCAATCAGATGCCTTCATTCTTCGAATTTGGGCATTAATGCAGGAAACACCCACATCTTGTGATGGAAGTGGAAATTTGTGTTCCACTATTTTTGGTCGACATGAAAACTCCATGATTTACATATGCCATACATTACTTCTCAATTGAATGCATAATGAATGAAAATAATAATGCAAGAGGATTTTAATTTTAGCAAAGTATTAGACAACTATGGATATAATTGGGAATAATTTGAAGAAATGTGTCAAAAAAACAACTATAATTTTGCTGTTGCGTAGGTTTAGTAAGTGGCCTTTAATAATGAGCGGACGTCCTTCTGGTTCACTTCTCGTTCTCCATCTGTTCAGAGGAGAACAATAGTGGGTGTGTTTTTATCTGTTTCCAACATTTAAGAAGTACCTTTAACTCTTTCTGGTAAAGAAAACTAACCCGAAACACAAAAAAGGACCTGGGCTACCATAAGCTGTCACGCCACATCAAACAAAAGCCTCACCTGAAAATTTTAAAGAATTGAGAACACAAAGTTGAGAGCTGGTTTTGGGTGCTTTGTGTTTTGATAATTGTCCCTGTGACTAATGACACAAACTGGACGGATGGAATAACTTGTGAGTCATACAAATTATTATTTGTGTTGTTTGAGCGTTTTTACATAATGGCATTCATTTACTCTCATTGCATTCATTTAATTTTTTTCTTGGATCGCAGAATTCAGAAGAAAAAAAAAAAAAAAGTGTATCTTGTATTATATGACCTTTTTCAAATATTACATGTAAGTAAGTAAGTGAGTAAGGTTTATTTATAGAGCGCATTTTACAGACCAAGGTCAACCAAAGCGCTACAATGTTCAGAGTTCAGATATTGTTCCAATCATTCCACACACAGTGATGACGGAAGCAAGTTGCCGAACACACTGGACAATCAGCCCCCAAGCAACTCAAGAAAATCAAGTAAATAATATATATACTCCTATTCACACAACTCGACACAATAAGAACCAATTATAACCTATGCATAGATGATCAAAATCTCAATTGTTTTATCATCTTTCGTTTACTTGACGGTGTATAATTGAAACTGTTTGCTGGCTTTGAGCTGAGTCGTGATAACTGTGACTTTGGGCTGTGTTGAATAAACAGGGGCTGAGATCAGGTGTCATTGCAGTGTAAATATGGCAGGAGGATGTAGGTCGGGCATAAAGGGCCGCTAGAACAGCAGGTGTGGTGGCGGACGCGCTCATCAAACATTCAGGAGCCAAAACGGACCTTTCACCAACCCATCAGCAAATAATACACAGACAAAAACAAACAGTAGCTTTGTACTCTTACAAATATGACTCTTTAGTTGTATTTGTTTGTATATGTTGGGCAAATTTGTTTAAAAAAGGACATTCTCATTTTATTTACAGTGTATTCCCGAAAGGCCATTTGTGTATTTAGCTTAAATTATAGCTGGGGTGCCTAAATAATAATTTCTTATGAATTCTACATTGTGTTTGTCGAAACTAAAAACAACAACAACTTAAGGAAGTTTTGTTAGAGAGAGAATTTAAGTCAAACTAAAGATGCCAGACCAATGATGCTACCGCAGAATGCCGAATTCATAACATCAGAAATCATTCTTGGTCATGGGTCAAGAGCTTCCACGTAGTCACTTGTAGACGCTTTGGGCTGAGAGCTGATTGGCTGAGGGAGGGGGATTCTATCTTTATCACTTTTTTCGTCTGGAAACATTGACCTAATGATGTGAAACCAACAACCTACAACTGAACTGTTTTAGAGCCAGGACTAGTTACATGGATTATATTACATAGTTGCATTTTTTTTTTCTTTTTTGTATTAGGCCCCTAAGCTTCAAGGCACCTAAAAAGTCCAAATGTATACATTTTGTTATATAATAATAATTTAAATAAATGACTATTCACTTAACATATTTACAATCTGATTTATTTTGACAATTAAAGAAGCGTTAACATAATGCTGAAGGATTCGGCTTTGAAAAAAGTTGGTTTATACAGTTTTATAATTTAGAAAAATATATATTCTAACATATCTTAAGCAACATATTTAAATATAATGTATTTAAATTCTAATATAGAAAAAATATATATATGTGGGTCTTAGTCGGTTCAATTTACCCACATAACTATTGTCTGTTACTATTCCATTTGCCTTTTCAATGGATTGGTAATTATTTTCTTTTGACTGAAAATGTCAAAACACATCCTAAACCTAAAACTTGAAGCTGTTTTAAAAGTCCCTTATCTTACTAAATGTATCTAAACAGTTTCTCATTGCCATATATTCGTAGTATTCCTCATACCTGTGTGTGTCTTGGTTCTCAGGTCCACGTCCACTGGTTAGTTGGGCTCTGGTAAATGTGATGCTCTCCTCTTGGTTCTCAGGTCCACGTCTAATGGTTAGTTGGGCTCTGAATACGTTATGCTCTCCTCTTCACTATTTAAACAAAGGAGGAGGGAAAACCCAGGTAGGCAGGTGTCTGTAGGAATGTGTCAAAGGCTGTGTTGTGGGCGTGGCACAAAACACAATCACACTTTATGATAAGTCACAGGCCATTTTTTTTGGTCAACTTTTACCGTATGTGCGTATCTGCTTCCTCATCGAAAATATTTTCCACTCAGTTTCATCTGATACGCTTCTCGTGCTGAAGTCTGTAATAGTTATGGGAATCTGGATATTTAAACATTATTGCACAGGACATGTTTTTAAATAATAATAATAATAATAATGCATCGGTTTTATATAGCGCTTTTTGTGGACACTCAAAGACGCTTCACATGTCATTATTCTTTCACTCCATACATGGTGGTGATAAACTACTACTGTAGCCACAGCTGCCCTGGGGCACACTGACAGAAGCGAGGCAACCAGTATGCGCCATCGGCCCCTCCGACCACCACCAACCATTCGCACACACACCAGACTCATTCTAGGCAATGGGGGTGAAGTGTCTTGCCTAAGGACACAACGGCAGTTTGGCACTTTACAGCCGCAGCCGCCCCACTGTGGCTGGTGTTCCCAGAGGTTAAGTGTCTTGCCAAGGACGCAACGACAGTAGACAGTGGGAGTCGATGGTGAAAGTCTTTAGCGGGGCTTGAACCCACGACCTTCTGGCTCAAAGGCCAACGCTCTACCAACTGAGCTACTGCCGCCCATTTTTAGGGGCTATATGTGCACTCGGTGGCAGTTATGGCCACCCCCACAACCCAGAAATGAATTAAGCGGAAGAATATGGATGAATGGATGATCGTATTCAAAAATGTTGTTGGATCTGGTAAAAAAAACTAGAAAACGTTATTAAATGTTAGTAAATGGTTGTATTCTTGTGTTGTTGGGCAGCATGTACTGTCCTCTTATTTTATTTTTATTTCTATTTATTTTCAATTCATTTCATGTGTTTATTTGGACAGTGTGTATTAATAAACAGTGACTGCAAATACTCCAGATTGTTGTTTTATTGCTGATTTCCATCTGTAGTCACACAGTCGCACTCACAAACACACACTCAATCAACCCGGACCTATTGTACTTGTTTTTAGTGGTAGTCGAAACCGTAGCATCCGAGGGAAATCTACCCAGACACGGAGAGAACATGCAAACTTCCCACAGAAAGGCCCTGTCTAAGTGCTCACCACTCAGCCACTGTGCACAGTACCCAATTGAGGGTGGCCCCCCTTCTCTCTGCACATCTGGTGGAGTTGTTTGTGATTGGGTCAGTGCTATGCTAGAATGGCAAAGAAGTGCGACATACAGTAAATGAAATCATGCATCATCGAACTGCGTGGAAGTGTGTGCGTTTAGGGAAGTACTGGATGTCTCGGCTTATACTGCTGCCCCCACGACCCGGCAAAGGCAAATGTGGAAGAAAAAGAGATGGATGTACCCAAGAATAATCAACATCCTCCCAACACAGCCACACAACTTGCATAGGACAACAATGCAGCGACACCAAACCACTCAAACCCACTCAACCAATTCTTTCAACACACGAAATATGCAAAAGAACAATCTATTTGCATGTCACATACCCACTACATATTTTTTAGCCTTGTATATAAAAGTTATACCTGGCAAATATATACAGTATAAAAGTTGTATATCTGGGCAAAGTGTGGCCCGGGGGCTACATCTGGCCCGATACGCAGTTCTATGCGGCCCCTGCACACTTCCCGGTTACTAACCTCATACCAGTCAGAAACTCATTCAAATTCGACACTTAATGAAGGCTTGTATCAGATATTCCACCATGGCATGTTATACATTAATTCTGTTCTTACCAATGAATCTAAAATTTTCTTAAAATTGATATAAATCAAGTGAAATTGGGTTCAGCCCTCCACAATAGGGCAACTGTACATCCCAAACCCCCTGAAGACAATAAAGGCCTGTGTACACTTGCGCGGCGCTGGTTACGGTTGCGGTTACGTTGGACCTACGTAACCACAGTTGGTGGTACAGTCGCGCGTTCCCCTTGCGGAGTTTTGAAGAGGATGTTGTAATCCCACAACCAACCACG